GACCCTAACCAAAACCTCCAAAGATGTAGGCATGTGAGACCAGCGTGACACTGCTAAGTCTACGACAAATGATTTATTTACAAATGCTAACCCCTGATCAAATCTCGCTGGTTGATAAGACGGTTTTGAATTGGTTTATCACCGGTTAAGTTCGGTTATCGTCTTCTTTATTGTGAGTGTTGCACACGAAATCTGTTGTTGTAGTGTGGATGGATGAATCTAACGGTTCGTAAGAGGAGGGTGCACAGAGATTTTAGATGGTTAGTGTTGTAGATGATCACAGCCTGAGCTAGGATTTTGCTGGTTCAGCTTTTGATGTGTAAACTAATGAAACTCTGACACGTGGAAACGTTGAGAAGAGCATCTTTAAGAATAAATGCTTTTCTAATCCTTCACGCAGCGCCTAGCATTTAAAAATTGGGACAGTGACCTTTCTCTCACACGCCACTCTCACGCCACTGGCTCGGCTTGTTCTGGTCAGCTCGGCCGGCAAATGGCAAATGCTTTAGAAAGGAAGTTTTCTCAAAACTCGTCTTGAGATTTTCTTAACTCAAACGAATTTTTTTAAGTAAAAAATATCGGAACGCTTGTATTTAATTTATTTTGTTCGTTGCCAATATAACTTCTTATTTTCGATAATTCGTTGCCAAGAACTCTGTGGAATATTTATGAGTGTGGTGACTTGTGACGAGTTAGATTGATTATATTTTGTTTAATTTTGGCCGAATCGGTATTAAATAATTCTTCGTTTACTATATTCATATTTGAATTTAGTGTTGATATCAGCCTGAATTCACATCAGAGCACACCACTGTCTTTAAGAAACCATATATTATATGATACTTCACAATGTTAAAAAATTAATATAAATATATAGATATTTTCAACATGACATATAAAATTAATTGTAATGTTTTGATTGTTTAATTTAATTGTTGTGTCCCTTAAATTTTTTATTAAATGACACATATGATTTTTTCATTTAATATCTCCTCAATTA